TGCCCGGGGGACACTGTGTCCTGCCCAGGGGACACTGTGCCATGCCCAGGGGTCACTCTGTCCTGCCCAGGGGACACTCTGCCCTGCCCAGGGGTCACTCTGTCCTGCCCAGGGGACACTGTGCCATGCCCAGGGGACACTGTGTCCTGCCCGGGGGACACTGTGCCCTGCCCAGGGGACACTGTGCCCTGCCCGGGGGACACTGTGCCCTGCCCAGGGGACACTGTGCCCTGCCCGGGGGACACTGTGCCATGCCCAGGGGACACTGTGCCCTGCCCGGGGGACACTGTGCCCTGCCCAGGGGACACTGTGCCCTGCCCGGGTGTCACTCTGCCCTGCCCAGGTGACACTGTGCCCTGCCCGGGTGTCACTCTGCCCTGCCCAGGTGACACTCTGCCCTGTCCAGGGGACACTGTGCCATGCCCAGGGGACACTGTGCCATGCCCGGGGGACACTGTGCCCTGCCCGGGGGACACTGTGTCCTGCCCGGGGGACACTCTGTCCTGCCCGGGGGACACTGTGCCCTGCCCGGGGGACACTCTGTCCTGCCCGGGTGTCACTCTGTCCTGCCCAGGTGACACTGTGCCCTGCCCAGGTGACACTCTGCCCTGTCCAGGGGACACTGTGCCATGCCCAGGGGACACTGTGCCATGCCCAGGTGACACTCTGCCCTGTCCAGGGGACACTGTGCCATGCCCAGGGGTGACTGTGCCCTGTCCGGGGGACACTGTGTCCTGCCCGGGGGACACTGTGCCATGCCCAGGGGTCACTCTGTCCTGCCCAGGGGACACTGTCCTGCCCAGGTGACACTGTGCCCTGCCCAGGTGACAATTCCACAGGCACAGCCCCAGCCCTTTCAGCGGGATCGCCCGGGGAGCAGTGCCCGGGTTGGGCTCGGAGCGCTCCGGGTGCCCCCGGGGCGATCCCGGCGGGGTCGGGGCGGCACCGGGAGGGTTCTCTGTCCCTCCTGCTCTGCTTTCCTGCTCTGTTCCTCAGCTCTCCTGCTCTGTTCCTCAGCTTTCCTGCTCTGTTCTCCAGCTCTCCTGCTCTCCTCGGCGGCTCAGGGG